TAGGTACAGACAGATGTTTTTGGTGTTCACTACTACAGTGTTGAGTATTTGACTTATTACCGTTAAGATCACTGATACAACTATGCAAAATTGAAGACAATGAATAAAAAAGAAAATTAATCGCTAGTTTGAGCATCATTTCACTTTTATTTAGTTCTAGCTCAATATTCATCAAATGAATTTTTTAGTTTTGTTAGTAACGATACCTTTTCATGGTATCAAAAATTATGAGAAATTAATTTTTTTAAAAAGAAATATATTTTTTTTTTCATTGAAACAAACGAATTTTTTTACAGTGTATATTTTTAACATTATTGCCAAAATAATATCTACAACTTTGCTCAAGACACCAAATTAATCGAACAAAGCGTTTCAGCAATATAAATTTTTTAACTCATTAGTACTATTTTTACACAGGCCCTGTTAGAAAAGTAGTCGTGATTCAATGTGATGAACTGATAACACAAATTGGCATCTTTACTAAAAAAGAACAACTGTCCAAATTTTCATCAAAATCGGAGACGACAAATTAAAAAAAAAAATTAAAAAATTCGTCAATCTGTAGAGAATTGCTCATGTGTGTTGTACAAAGTACAACAGCGCGAGTAACGGAGGGTTAAAGGAAAATTCCAAGGAAAAACTGATGAGAATTTTATGGAGATCTTGAGAAGAACAGCAGGTTTATTTTAATAAGATTTCTGAAGAGAATGAGGTGAGTTCATAAAAAGTTTTGAGGAGAAATTCAAAGGGATCGAATACTCAGGATCGTTTGAAAGGAATTCTAAGGAGGATTCCGTGGAAGTCCTTAGGATAAGGGAATTCCAATTTTTCTGTTTAAAATTTTAACAAGAATTTCATGGAAATTCTGGACAGAATTCTGGTATTAAAAGCATGGGAAATCTAACAAGAATTGTATGGGGATTATTTATTTGAAACCGAAAAAAATGAATCCCGAATTTTTGTTTAGTGAGTTTAGGTTTTCACACGTATATTTTTTATCAAAGTCCGGCATCTTCAATATTTTACTAGCGACGAACAATTTGCAATATTGTTGAGTAAATAAAATAAGACGAATAACTTATGATAATTATGCAGCAAATGAGCAAATTGGTAAAGACTACCCAAGTAACAATTTTGGTTTCATGAGGGTTCTGTAGATCATGATTTAGACTTGTAGAATGCTATAAAACCTCGATAAAACCTGCAATGTTACTTGAGTAGAGAGGGTCTAGTATAAGAGAGGAGCTGACTGGCTGATTTTGAGCCAAACGAACTGTCAAAGCCAGTCCTAAGTAAATGTTGGACTAACATACCTTTCCTATCCCTACCAGTTGTAAGGACGTGGCCAGGACAATCCTTAACTGTTGGAGCGGGATATGCCTTTATCTGGGAGATAGTAATTATTTCCTACTTACTATCTGTCCAGTAATAGATATCCGTCTGGCTCTTAACAGTTTTGAATTCGTACCACCTACGAAATTGTGCAACTTGTTCGATGCTAATGCTAACGAACTGTCAAAGCCAGAGCCAATCGAGCAGTGCCTATCTTGATTGCATTAGCAGTGTTGCTAGAAATCGCCTAGGCATAGGTTGCCATGGCAGTTTGTTTTGAATCCGCTTCTCTCTTATACTAGACCCTCTCTAGTAAAGACTGGCTCTTGCTCTCTAACTGATTCTGGCCGTAAGCAAGGTTGCAAAGACTCATTTCAGCTAAAATAATGTTTTTTCGGAATAATAAAACCAAAAGATGGTATGATGGCATGTTTTACTTGTAACTTACAAGAAGAGGTTACAAAGTATGCGCTGGAAACATAAAACCTGTAAATTTTGCTTTCTATGAGTCACAATCAGCGATTTGCTGATCGCTGAGTGAGTGAGTGAGTGAGTGAGTGAGTGAGTTTGTGAAAAATCGCTGATTGTGACTCTCATGAAGTGAAATTAACAGGTTTAATATGTCAAACACATTCTTTGCAACCTCTTCTTGTATCTTACCTATTCAAAATATGATCATTGCATCTAATTATTTCATAATTTAAAAAACACATTGTTTTAGCTGAAATAAGTATTTGCAACCTTTGCCGTAAGTTCAAAATTATAGATATTTCCCGGTTTTCCGGTCGAGTCTCCGGCTACTTTTCAAATCCCCGATTACTTCCCAGTTTTCCGAGTTTTCCCAGTTCGCTGGCCATCCTGTTTCATAACCCCAAAACATGAGTCTTTGCAAAAATGGTAAACATGGATTATAGTTTAGAGGTCTCGCAAACGGTTTGAACTTTGTGTGGGATTAGTTCTTGATGACCAAAATGGTCAAAGTAGAATATGTGGTTGCTATGACAATGACCAACAACCCTGTTTTTGTTGTGAAAAAAAACGGAAACATAGGGTAGAGGAACGAGGGCTAATACGCGCCCCCTAATGAAATAATGGACTACCAGTTCTTATTGATTAAACATATACGTTCTATTTTAGTGAAATTATTAGTCTGATGAATTTTCGTGATGATACTGTAAACGTCATATTCAGCCCAATCGGACATGATTAAGGGGTAGCGCAAAACCGTCACAGTTGGGTTTTTTTTAAACCAAAAAATCACCCAATACAAGCAGGAATGAATATCTCGATACTTTAAATTGAAATGGATTAGCCTAAAGCCTGTTTTGATATGTCGGAAAAAGCATATATCAATACCTGAGCAGGAGAAAAGCACTTTTAAAACATTAACTAGGGGAAATGGATGTAATGTCGGCCTAAATGCCCCTAATTTGGGCCCATACATAAATTCAGCAATCGAATAAATTTTCAATAGCGACCAGGAATACCCATCAGTACCGTCCCAATGACGTGTACACATACAATTGATAAATAGCAGATTTTTAGCGATGGGCCTAATCTTAGATCCATAGGCCAACATTAGAGCCATATCCCCTATTTTGTTTGTATTACTTCTGGGTGAAGTTAACGATTTACTTAGGAGAAATGTCGGCTTCGGCAATACCTTAACCTATTATCGTCAGGGGGTAAACAAAGTCCTAGAGTACTCAAACTTGGCCAATAGATGCTCTGAAACACAATGTATCCATATGCCAAAATTGAGCTCTCAAGGACGTTGTTTACCCCCTGACGATAATAGGTTAAGGTATTACCGAAGCGGACATTTTCCCTACTTGAAGATGCTAATTTCAAATAACAGATTAAAGTGGTAATTTTTATACGATAGTTCAGGAGATGAAAGTAGGGAAAATGTCTCTAATGTTGGCCTATGGATCTAAGATTGAAACTTTAGTCGATTGCTGAATTTATGTATGGGCCCAAATTAGGGACACTTAGGCCGACATTACCTGCATTTCCCCTATATAGGGGAAATGTTGGCTTCGGCAATACCTCAACCTATTATCGTCAGGGGGTAAACAACGTCCTTGAGAGCTCAATTTTGGCATGTGGATACATTATGTTTCAGAGCATCTATTGGCCAAATTTGAGAGCTCTAGGACTTTGCTTACCCCCTAACGATAATAGGTTAAGGTATTGCCGAAGTCAACATTTCCCCTAGTTGATAGTTCCGTTTGGGAGTTTGGTAAAGAGAGATGATCAACCCGATTCGTACCTACCTCAAAGCTGTCCTTGTTCGTTTTCTACTCTCTATATGCAATTTTCACACTGCCGTACTATAACGGAACTATCAATTCTATACTATACTATAATATATTATTGTATAAAAATTACCACTTTAGTCTGTTATTTGAAATTTGCATCTTCAACTATGTAAATCCTTCACGCAGAAGTAATATAAACAAAATAGTTAAAGTACATAACTCTAGATGGGAGATTACCATCATTTACTGTCATAGGTCGAAAGGAACAGTAGCAACACCTCCCCTACCCATGGCTCCTCGATATCGTCAAGTCGACGATGACAGGAGCACATACCGTGGTAGAGGTAACAATAGCTGCAATTTCCAAACCTACGACTAGATGCCTACGACCAGATAACAACATGAGTACGGTACAATCGGTTTTAAACACATCCCAACAAACAATTAGAGTTGATTAAATGCTGAACAAGCTAGTTTTTAGCTAAATAAGCTATTTTTTGTCTGAATTAGGCCTTATTCAGCTTTCAATGTTCATTGGGATCGACGGTACATGAGCAAATCGGTGATCATCTCTTTTTGCCAGTGGTGGCGGGGGAGGGGGGGTTGGGCAACCCCTCACCATCCCTCTTCAACTGGGGAGTTTGGTAAAGAGAGATGATCAACCCGATTCGTACCTTCCTCAAAGTTGTGCACGTTTGATTAGGTATTATCGCATTAATGACCCTTCGCTCAATTTCAACTTCTATGCAATTTTCTCACTGCTGTACTCTAAAACCACAGACAAACAGACATAACACATTGAATATTTCTCACTGTAAAACATCGTCGCTAAAACATTACCGCCATCTGTTGAGTACACTGTGGTGGGTAGTACGCTGAACAGATGACGGTAGTGTGTAAACGTCAAACGCTAGGGAACTGTCTATGCGCGCCACAGGTGGAGGTACTACCAACTACGATACTTTTAAATTGACCGTTAAATGCCTTTTCGATGAACAACTCGCGAGTTTTATGTCTGTTTGTCTGTGCTAAAACCATTGTTTTATACGAAATCTTTAATTTTTACGAAATTTGGATTCAACGACTCAAAATTAAGTAAAATAAGTAATTACACGGAACACAGCACCAGCATTAATGCTGATTTTGATAAGATTTATGGGAACAGTTTAAAGTTGCATATTTTATCACTTCAACCAAATTGTGCGTTTAGAGTGGTAGAATGCGTCGTTTGTTAGCGAAAACGTTTCAAAAGTACTACTTAATGAAATGCTATACAAATTATCTTATAACAATATCATAAAAAAGGATTGTTGAAAAACGAAAATTGATCTCAACTTCACCCCGTTTTACGGTACCCACTACTCCTTACTGAATTTATCATCCGTTTCTTCTTCTTTTGTTTCCCAGATGGCACATCGTCCCGTCAGTGCAATGTCGCGTCAAGAATCGGAAATGATCAACCGCAGCCGTCGGGCTCTGTCGTCGGGCACGCTTACGGACTCGATCGAGAAGCTTCGTCACATGTGCCTTGCTCGGGGTGCGTCGGGGATCCTGGGCTTGGGTCGGTGCTTCCGCCGCATGGACGACGACGGCAGCAAGGCGCTCTCGCTGGAAGAGTTCATCAAGGGTTTGCTCGACACCGGACTGGACGTCACCAACGAGGAAGCAACTGAGATGTTCAACAAGTAAGAACCGTCTGAAGATTGCCGTTAAGATCGATCACCCAAAAGGTTAATCTTTTTTTAAGGTTCGACACCGACGGAAGCGGTTCGATCAACATGACCGAGTTTCTGATTGCTATTCGGCCAAATATGTCCGAATCCAGGAAGAACATCGTCAGTCAAGCGTTCGTTAAATTGGACAAGACCGGAGATGGAACCATTACCGTTGATGATTTAAAGTAATGTTACCCTTCAGTGGAAATATGTACAATTAATACTAACTGATTCGCACATTACTTGCAGGAACGTTTACTCGGTCAAGAACCACCCGCTGTACATTAGCGGTGAGGAGACGGAGGACGTCATCCTGCGGAAGTTTTTGGCCAATTTCGAAGAGAACGGCAACGTCGATGGGACCGTCACCAAGGAGGAGTTCCTGAACTACTATGCAGGCCTTAGCGCTTCGATCGATTCGGATGCCTATTTTGATCTGATGGTTCGCCAGGCTTACAAGCTGTAAGCGGTGAATATTATCATGAACAACCCGCAGCGCTGGTTACCAGCCGCGATTCTCTAAAGTATTTTAAGTCGTTACAAAATGCAACAATATTATTATTTATTGTTTTATTACTAAATATGTTGTGCAGCATACTACCAAAAAAAGCAAACAATGATAAAGGTCGCTTGACAAGCGAGAGTGCAAGTTTATTTGATTATTCTGCAAACTGCCTTTGTCGATTTGAACAAGTAGTGTTTTTAAAATGTCGTTTAAACATTCCCTAAGTTAACTGAGAAAAAAAAATGTTTTTTAAATTTTGACAATTGATCCACACGATCTGTGACAATGCAAGAGTAAAATTAATGTTCTGGAAAATGGTTGATGAGTTTTACTTCGGAAAGAAAGTTCTCCACGTCTGGACATTTATATCTGCTGAAATACCATCATTAAAAAAATAGATTAACTAACAAGGCTCACCGTCAACAGCGTACTTTGAGAGAGCAGCCCATTAGATTAAAGGCAAAATTATCAGGATAATTAACATGAAGCGTTCTTGATAGCTTCTTAATGTTTCGCCTCGACTTCTTTAAACCTGATTTTTTGTGAACTACAATAAAACAAACTAATCATAAAATGTGTTTTTTTTTTTCCCTTGATGTGTTTTCCGTTGATCTTGTTTTCCATGCTGAGCACCAATGCTACCGACGCGAGGGAGACAGCTCTCACACCTGGACCCTACCTATCGACCCATCAACTCATGAACCGGGGACCAACGGCTTTAATTCCCTCTGGCGTGATCAGAGATGTTATGCCTCAGAACATCCCGGCGGCGCCGACTGGGATTGAACCCAGGCCTGCTGGGGTGAAAGGTCGCTAGTATCCAATCTACGAAGTATAATAACAACGCTAACGCTAACAAATGAGCAAAAGTTATACCAGTTTGTTTAATTGTGTTCAAGAATAATCGCTATTCACACACAATTTTTTCCGCCCCAAAAAAGTTGGAACCCCCTTGTTTATGTTAATACCGTGAGGTACTGTAAGAAGTTTGCTCGCTCTGAAAAAAGTTAATTTTTTGATTTATTTTTATTATTATTAGGGTGGGTCAAGTTTGTATAGTGGATTATAAGCCCCTGTTCCCCACTGCTCTGTATGTGTATTGAGGTCCCCAAAACGGTGCCAAATTTGAACGAATTTGGTTATGATCTGGATTTGCGACAGAATTTTATCTTTTGTATGGGAAACGAAACGAACTTATTTATTTGCTTGCCAATACAATACAATTATTGTTCAAATTTCACCAAATCTCGGGTATACTATGCAGAACAACTTTGTTGAAGACTGACTTCTGAGAAAAAGTTATTTTTATATTCATTTAGACCTATTGCTCCGCGCATACCTTCAGGCGTATATATGATTTTGTAAGACGTGAAATAAGTTTAGTTTAGTTTTCTTTATTAACGAGTCTTTCAGCCTTGGTGTGGGGTGTGGTTCGTCTCGTAGTGAAATAAGTGTCTAAAGTGAAATATTTGTAACTTTTTGTACAAATATCAAATCGATGTGCAGTCTTCAACAAAGTTGCTTAGTACAGTATTCTTAATCTAAATCCGATATTTGGTAAAATTTGAGTAATATTTGGAATAGGATCGTTCCGTTTCCCATACATTTTCACATACAAAATTAAAAATTCTCAACCAAATCGAGATTAAAACCAACTACGATCAAATTTTGCACAGTTTTTGGAGACCTCGATACGCATTGAAAGAGCAGTGGGGGACAGGAGGTTGTAAAGTTGATCCACCCCAACCTGCATGCTTTCGGACTTGTTTCGTGTGACCTTCGCCGAGTCAGTAGAGTACTACCGGACTACTTCGCGATTGGGATGATCCGACTACCTGTGCGCTTGCTTGTACAAAGGGTAAGGAACTGCAAGCAACCAAGGCACATTGCAGCCTTCTACTGCAACAAGCCATGCTGCGATCTACACAGAAAAAAAATCTGAATTTTAACTATCGTGTAAAATCTCCCCTCGTTTAATTTTGAGCTACAATTGGCATAAACAACGAAATCGTTTACAAGCTTGCATACAATATTTCTAATTTATGCGATATTGCGCTTAAATTTACACGAAATATCGTGTAAATTTATGCCAATTCTAGCGTTGATGTGATGTGAATTTTTCAAACAGTGTATGTGGGGGAGAAGCATACGCAGGGTTCATGCACCGTTCGAAAAATTCATGTAAATTTATGCGAGATATAGCGCACATAAAATTAACGCTAGATTTGGCATAAATTTACGCGATATTTCGTGTAAATTTAAGCGCAATATCGCATAAATTAGAAATATTGTATGCAAGCTTGTAAGCGATTTCGCTGTTTATGTCAAGTATAGCTCAAAATTAAACGAAGGGAGATTTTACACGATAGTTAAAATTCAGAATTTTTTCTGTGTGTAGTAGGGTGTCCCAAAATTGCACTATGTCTGGAAATCTGGGGGCTCAACCTCCAAATGATAGCTAAGGGTGTTACAAACATACTTTTGTATGGCGGCAACTCTGGGAAATGTTGTTTAGAGGTCGCCTCGACGAGATTTTTGAATAAAGTCAATTTTTCATAGCTATTATCCAATAAATATTTTTAGTTCTTTAAATTTCAGTGAAATCTCACCCTTTAAATGTTTTGCAGATTCCCAAGGGTCAAAACTATAAGAGAAAAAATTGCTACGGCATGTTCTGTGTCCAATTTGTTACTTACAATTTTTCAAATTCTCTAAAATGATGTTTTTTGTTGTACATCACTGCATTCAATCATCAAAAGTGGGTATCAAATATAGCGCTATTATCAATCAAATGCAGCAGAAATAATGAGAAATTTTATAAGCAAAAACTTTGCCCAGACACTTTAACCTCATTTTTAACCGTTAAAAAGTTATTCGTGATTTACTGTGGAAAGAAAAGTTCAGAATTTCAATACTTGCAGTATGTCCACCAGCAAATCAAACTTTCATTGAAATCGATAAATACAAATCACCTACTTTGTTGCAAATCACTTGATAAAATTTGTTTCGAAGGTTCTAGAATTCAATAAAAGGATATATGAGTGGAGAGGGATCACACAATTTATTAGTTTCCATTTGATTGCCGTAGCAAGCAGAACCAAAAAAGAAAATCATGTCACCAAAAACCAAGCTCAACTCGGATCTCATCACCGGTATTGCGAGGAAGCATTTGCCCAGAAACCGTTTGCCGTCGGAAGTGGCCGTCATCAGGTACTTTCGACAAGGGGCCTCATAGCCTAGTCAGTAAAGGCACGGTATTACCAAGCCGGAGGCGGCGGGTTCGATTCCCGGTCCGGTCGAGGGAATCTTTCGGGTTGCAAATTTTCTCGACTTCCCTGGGCATAGAGTATCATTGTGCTTGCCACACAATATACAAATTCATGCATTGGTATTGGCATCGAAACCTCTCAATTAATAACTGTGGACGTGCATTTAGAACACTAAGTTGAGAGCACGCAAAAAGCTAATATGCACTAAGCAATAAGCTTGAAATGCGAATAAGAAGAAGAAGAAGGTACTTTCGATTCAAGCATAAAACCCACCAACTTTCAATCGGAAGAAGCATTCAAGTTGTGGCTACCGAAACTGCTTGCATATCAATGGTACACTGCTTGAGAAGTTTTTCGGAAACTCAACCGGAACTTTGTTTGTCACCTGCTGGCTCCATAATTCTGCACGGACAGTATCGTTTCGTAGCTTTTCATCGATGTGGTTCACGCTTATGCTGAAGAAGTAACTCAACCGCATCCTACACATCTTCAAAGCTGGCAATAGCTCTGATTTTTCTTCTTGAAGGAGGGGGCGACCCCAGCGTAGTGGTTAACATCTATACCTCTCACGCCAAAGTCACGAGTTCAAATCTCACCTCCGGACAAGTCACGAATGACCCAAGAGTGTTAAAGTGACTATAATAAAAAAAAAGAAAAAAAAAAAAGTCTTCTTGAAGGCCTTACTTTGGCGTTGCCATGTCACAACGAGCTTGGCAACCCTCCTATCAACGTTCCGCTTGAGCTGGTGCGAAAGTCCGGCTTGATTCCAAATCTTCACAGCTTCGGTAGCCACAACTTGAATGCTATTCCCATTGAATGTTGTTGGGTTTCATGCTTGAATCGAAAGTACCTGATGATGTCCAACTCCGACGACAAACGGTTTCTGGGCAAATGCTTCCTCGCAATACCGGTGATGAGATCCGACTTGAGCTTGGTTTTTGATGACATGATTTTGTTTTTTGATTCTGCTTGCTACGGCAATCAAATGGAAACTAGTAAATTGTGTGATCCCTCTCCGCTCATATATCCTCCTATTGAATTCTAGAACCTTCGAAACAAATTTTATCAAGTGATTTGCAACAAAGTAGATGATTTGTATTTATAGATTTCAATGAAAGTTTGATTTGCTGGTGGACATACTGCAAGTATTGAAATTCTGAACTTTTCTTTCCACAGTAAATCACGAATAACTTTTTAACGGTTAAAAATGAGGTTAAGTGTCTGGGGCAAAGTTTTTACTTATAAAATGTCCCATATTTCTGCTGCATTTGATTGATAATGACGCTATGTTTGATACCCACTTTTGATGATTGAATGCAGTGATGCACAACAAAAAACATCATTTTAGAGAATTTGAAAAATTGTAAGTAACAAATTGGACACAGAACATGCCGTAGCAATTTTTTCTCTTATAGTTTTGACCCTTGGGAATCTGCGAAAAATATAAAAGGGTGAGATTTCACCGAAATTTAAAGATATAAAAATATTTATTGAATAATAGCTATGAAAAATGGATTTTTTACAAAAATCTCGTCGGGGCGACCTCTAAACAACATTTCCCAGAGTTGCTGCCATACAAAAGTTTGTTTGTAACACCCTTAGCTATCATTTGGAGGTTGAGCCCCCGGATTTCCAGACATAGTGCAATTTTTGGACACTCTAGTGTGTAGTGCTCTTCCAAAACGTGTTTATTGTTTGGGAAATCCGCATGCTCTCGCTTATGGGTCATGGGTTTGCTGTCAGTTTTTATCTCACCACTACTGACAACATGGCGCCACCATCCTATGGACAAAAAGTTAACCGGAAAAGTAATGTATGGTGATTTGAACATTTTTCCAAAACTATCGATTTTGGAAGCGAAAACAGAAAAACAAATTTGATAGGGGTGTGCGTAAAAAAATTACTCAGCACTAAAAAAAAATCCCTAAAAAGGTCAAAATTTCGTTAAAATCAAAATGTCCAGGTTTTCTACATATTTAATTAATTGCCGTATTTTTTTTTACTAGCGACATCTGTTGCAAAAATAAACCATGCTTTTAATCCATTGTCCAACTACAAACAGCAGAGAGCCAGTGTTGCCAGATTGTTTTCCAGCTTACCGTCGCAGACTTCAAGCTTTTGTCTCAGATATTTTATTTATTTTAAGTTAGAAATTAAAAAGTCCGGCATTTCGATTATTGGAATCCCAGAGTCTTGATGACACTTTCTGTTGCTATGATCTTGATAGCGGCGCCGGTGGTGTAGTGGTAAATGTGATTGCCTCTCACCCCAAAAGGCCTGGGTTCAATCCCAGTCGGAGCCACCGGGATTTTCTGAGGCATAAAATCTCTGATCACGGAAGGGAAGGAAAGCCGTTGATGCTTCACATCAATACGAACTCGATTTTTGTACACTGAGGCAAATAGACCTAAGAATTTCATAAGGCTCGACTTATGAACAACATATATGAATTTCATAAGCGTGACTTATGAATGATTTTCGGGTAACATGAGGTAGCTCTTATATGCCTTTAACCATTTCATTTTCCCAAGCGTTGAAAGACGAGTGGTCACCCCCTAACCTCAACCTCCATTTTCCGGTTCCAGTCTACTCCGATTTATTATTTTTTTGTCAACATTATTTTTCATAAGGCAAATCAATGAAATTCACACTCATTTCTTAAGGCTAAAATTCATAAGGGTTTCTTATGGAATTTTTACGTTCTTTTGGCAGCGTGTAAATGAGCAGTATGGATTTCGCCATGGGCATTCAACTACTCATTAACTCCTAAGAGTTAACAATTTAATTCGTCCAAACAAATCTGAAGGCTGCCAACTGGAGTTGCTCTTCAAGACATAGAAAAAAGCATTCGACAGTGTTTGGCATGAAGGTTTGGTTGCTAAATTAAAAAGGTTAATTTTCCACTCTATATTATGAAATTATTTAACTGGCAGAACTCTACAGGTAAATATCAAAATTTCAAATCTAAACTACTACCTGTTAAAGCTGGAGTTCTCAAGGGTAGCATTTTTGGGCCTATATTGTATAACACTTTCCCTTCAGACCTCCCTGATTTGCCTCAGGGTTGTCACAAATCTTTGTTCGCTGATATGCAGTTGTGTGTGTGTGTGTGTGTGTGTGTGTGTGTGTGTGTGTGTGTGTGTGTGTGTGTGTGTGCGCGTATGTGTGTGTTTGTGTGTGTGTGTGTGTGTGTGTGTGTGTGTGTGTGTGTGTGTGTGTGTGTGTGTCTGTGTGTGTGTGTGTGTGTGTGTGTGTGTGTGTGTGTGTGTGTGTGTGTGTGTGTGTGTGTGTGTGTGTGTGTGTGTGTGTGTGTGTGTGTGTGTGTGTGTGTGTGTGTGTGTGTGTGTGTGTGTGTGTGTGTGTGTGTTTGTGTGTGGGTGTGTGTGTGGGTGTGTGTGTGTGTGTGTGTGTGTGTTCCCTCTAAGTCACTCTGGCCGGGAGTGTTATTGTGGCAGAACTCTCTCTACAATGCCGCATTTACTCTGGGAGTTAGAAGGTGATAGCTCTATTGCAGATCCAGCAGCCCATTTCAGAATGTCTGTAGAGTCACGCCCATTCCAAGGTTATTTTCACTTACAATAAGCCCCTCATGTATGCATCAATTGGATATTAGTATTACACACTTCCAGTTTCAAAATGTTCTTTTGAATCCTGGCACGTATTTAATTTATGCTTTTTTTAAGTATTTGGACTGGTCTCACCATGTTAATTTGATCCTTCAAACAAATGTTCTTGCATTGCCATTAGACTGATGCAAAATTTGAAATTTTTGCTCCACAGTGTTCAAACGGTTTAAAATCAGGTCCTGATTAGCCTCCGAATGTTTAAACTCATTTGATAAGAAACTGACTTGGCACAACCATTTGAAGTTTATATGGAAATTACTATGGGAAAACAAAACTTTTTGTTCATTGTCTTTTAGTCTTTTTACATATTGCACTGTTAACAAATTCTATTGCTATTATTATGGGAATTTTTATCAGCTACATCTTTGCAGAAAATCGTTTTGCAGTCAAACGTCAAATTAAATAGTTATTAATTGTTTAAGAGATTGATAATCTTATGGCATGATTAAGCAACTGTATTGTGTTCAACACTGCATTCTGCAGTGTGACATAGTAGCCATGATTTTTGTCCTCTATTATACGCGCCATAAACACCAATGTTGCCTGCTGAACAGTTGATTGAGCATAATCATTAGACATCAGTGACTTGAATCATTAATAATTTTTGTTCCTTACATTTGATCGAAAAGTGGTCTTCAACAAAGTTGTAACTGAGAAAATTTTCAACAAGCTCAGCATTTTTTAAAGTAGAGTGAACTGGTGAATTTTGAGATAGATATGAACCGAAATTATGGTTTCTCCATAGTAATTCCCATATAAACTTCAAATGGTTTGTGCCAAGTCAGTTTCTCACTAAATGAGTTCAAATTTTGAGAGGCTAATCAGGGCCCAATTTGGAACCGTTTGAGCACTGTGGAGCGAAAACTTCAAATTTTGCATCAGTCCAATTGCCATGGTCATCTGGGAGGAGGTTCGCGTCCAGTGATTTTCCCAGGAACTGTTCGCGGCCACCAGCTACCACCCGTCCTGTCTTGAGCGTTTCCAGCGAGACATCTTTCAGATTGCTCGTAATCTCCGACACCAACGAGAGACCAGCAGACGAGATCTTTTGCAAGCGGAAAACTTGCTGGTTCACGGCAACGTCGGCTACCAAATCACCACCAAAACTAGCGACAGACACATTATCAGTACGTTCCCGGGCTAATACACCAAACGGACCGGGATTTATCTCGCCCACGGTGACGAATCTCTCAACAGAACTACACGCCAAAAGTGCGGCATCCGAACTCAGAGAATCGGGCTCCCGGGAGGCAATGAAAACTGACATCGAACAATGGAACTGAAGCAACGTCGTAGATTTTGGAGGTTAAAACTAGATATATAACTAAATGATAACTTTATGAACACTTGAAACTAAATTTCAGCACACAAATTAACAAATTTAAAGTAAAAAATGTTTAATTCGCTAACGAAAAATGCGCAGCAAAAGAAAAACACATCAGCTTTCAAGCCCGGCCTACTGCGATCAGTCAATTCCGCAAAGGCGATTTTCGCAGTTTTTCGTAAACCATGACTTTTGTTGGAAATTAAACACCAGATCAATCTTCAGCGGACACAAATCAAATATACATGCTAACTTCTGAATATTGCGTTGCATAAAAAACCTGCATGATCAACTTCAACCCGGAATTCGTAATTTGCATTTTTAATCTAATTTTAGTTCTAGAAAATAATCCAAGCAGATATTGATTGAATAATACATAAAGATTCATTCATTTTTCTCATTCATTTCAGCATTGGTTGCATTCCTACAAGAATAATTAATCGCAGTTATGAGTAGGCACTTGAGTCACGCGATCGATTTATATAGAATAGCGGATACAAAATTCAATTCATATCTCACTATCAAACTGATATAACATCTTATCTAATCTACTTCCTTATAGAATTTCAACGTAAACGTAAACAATCTGCGTACTTCCTAAAGGCAATCTGAACACAAATTCACCAACACATGCATTTTGCACCGAAACTCAGGTAAACACAACTTCCATTCCAGTCCGTTCATCCATGTTGCTTTCGCATCCATTTCATTCTGCATTATTCATTCTTCTACCACACACTTCTTCGTCTGACCTTCACGTCTTCATTTCAAGGCAGCACACCCTGCCTCTCCGCAGCCAACTAACAACCATACACCACACCGCATCCACCATCGAAACTAAGCTTCTGCATCGGTTCAGTTCAGTCCGTGTTCATCGCTCGAACTAATCGGATCGGTTGGTGTATTTTTTTAGCTTACTAATTATCATTACGTTTTTTTTTTTGGCAAATTACTTTTCCAAAGTAAGTAATTAAGTGTATAACTGTGAGCTGGACTGTGATATAATGGGCCAAGTGTTCTAAGGTCAGTTTGCAAAGTATGCTAGGCTAATCGACGGGGCTATTGCTCGTTACCTACTTCCAAGCGGTGTGATATAAGCGATTCGAACGCGAAATCTGGTACGGAAGGTGCGGGAACGTAATAATCGCAAAATTACACAAAAAGTGTTTACCCCCAAGTTCTCGGTCCAGGGTCGCCATATTACACTTTTATTGCGCTTTTTGTTTGACCATGGTATTTCGTACCGGTGCGCCGAGTAGGATGAGTGGCAATTTTCTGCCGAACTGGTATGGGTTTTTGTGCATGTTTTTTTTTCGGTTATGTCTGCTTCTGTCCAATGTTTATCAGTGTTCTATGTATGGCGACTGTGGAGGATACAGAACATCGGAACATTCCAAGACACAAGCGTACAAATTGGTCGTCAAGAGTTCAAAGTGGCAAGACGTTTACGATAATGAATTGATTGAATTACGGAACACATGTTTCGAGTGCAGCAGAGTCGGTGCTTACTCGCATACAACAAAAAAAACTGTATACCACGGTGTTCCTAGACCGGAGTGTAGAACCCAAACTGCATGGCTGCAATTTTGAATAACATAGTGTCGCCTGCCTAAAAGCGATTACGCGCACACATTCCCAAACATCATATCGACAGATGCACGATTTTCGCTGAAGCCGGGACCACTAGTTGCACGAGGTGAGATATTGTCTGTTAAAACAAAAACCGTAATGCTTCGTTAGTAAAATGCTGTAAATAAGTCAATACTAGCAAACTGCGATTTTGTGCTTCAGCGAATATATCTGTCCTTCTGCCCGGAGTCTCGAGAGTCAAGTGTCAGATACCTACCACTTGAACCAAGCTTGAACTTTTTTCCTCCTCATTTCTGGTTTTTTACGGGAGCACTTTGCCTGCTTTCAGCGTGGTGTTCTTTGGAACAATCATACTTTATGGTAGTCTTTGGAAAATCCCACTCCAAGAGCTGCTAAGATTCAAAACGATTGTGATTGATGTCAATCACTCGTTTTGTTTGGATAGAGGCATGCAATTAATCATGACGTATGAATAAAACACTAAAATTCACCGTTCCAACGATGGGAAACGTAAACAAATCCGCTGCAGAGAGAGTGAATCAAATCTAACTTCCTACTGTTTTTTTATGTATTGACCACAGTGGCAGCATATCCTTGCTAAAACTCTACACTGAACCCCTTTTATTTGTAAATATTGCTTCTATGAGCACACAGACGTTCCTAGGCTATGGTGCCCGTTTTGTCACTGTTGGTTTTATGTTGATCCGAATAGTTTTGATAATATAGTTGTGCATTCCCGCTGTTATGATAAAAATAGTAATATCAATGATAGGGTAATATCGAACATAACAAATCAAGAAGACTGGCAACTCTTCCATTTCCTCATACGAACGCTATGAGACAGGTACTATCGCGTCATCTGCCGCTCAAAGGTAAATGCTTCGAACGAATTTGATAGCAAAGATTACATCCTCAGAAGAAAGGTTTGTGTATTTGCTCATTTTTCTATGCATTGCTTCCACCTTCACTCAAGCGCAGCGCTATTGTATCTGTCGCTATCAGTAGTACGCTTTTTTGAATGTGTATAAGGTTCCCAATTGTGCGAAGTTTTCCTGATTTTTCACAATGCATCGTGAATTTCTTCTAAATTCTCCACACGCAGTTTTCCTTAATATTAAATTTCCTGAATTTTTACGATGTTCCCTGAACATTTACGAAGTCCTTGAACTTTTAAAAAGTCTAAATAAATTTTTAAAAAATCCCAGAACTTCAAAAAAATTCCCCGAATTTCTACGAAATTCGTTACATGTATAGAAAGTTCGCCAATTTTCAACAAAGTTCTACAAAGTTCTCCGAACTTCCACAAAAATTGCTGTTTTTTGCTAAAATACTCTGATGTTTTATGCAACTCATTGAGCTTCTACAAAGTTTGATTATTTTCGAGATTTACTGAACCAGATTAAAAGTTACTACACTTCTTGAATGTTTCCACACACTTAGAAATAATTACCAATGTCGGTAATTTTTAACCGAACTTTCAACAGCTGAACAGTTCGGTAAAACTTTGCACCTCAGTTCAAAAGCTGATCCACTAAATTTTAATTTCAAAACACTGTCAACCTTGTTTAAATAATCGAGTCTTGCAATTGAGCAAGGCGAATGAGAACGACCCAAATTTGAGTTTAGTTCACTCATAATCGCCGAAAGTGCAGGAACTCAGCGATGAGTAAAATTTGTCTCATGGTTTCCTGTGGAAAACCTAAAAAATCTGCCGGAAAATGAGGAAATTTACGAAAATTTTATTCAGTCCTGAGTCAATCCTGAGTGAATCCAATCTTTACTTTTCTCAAATTCGGGAATTTTTCCCTGGAAAATTCTGGAAAAACTTGGGTTCTGCACTTTTGGCGATTATGAGTGAACTAAACTCTAATTTGGGTCGTTCTCATTCGCCGTGTGGTAATGAATTAAAATGCCTGATATTTACCGAACAGTTCAGCTATTGAAAATTCGGTAAAAATCACTGAAGTCGGTAGTCATTTCTACACACTTAATCTAGCTCGGTAAAATCTCCAATAGCCGATTACCTCGGCATTTACTTTTGCTGATATCTCTGCAAAATATCTGTTTGTTAGCTGATATCTCAGCAAAATGTTATTTGTTAGCTGAGTCTCGGCAATTGTTTTACTGAATCTCAGCAAAATAAATTGCAGAATTACTCGGCTGTTGGAATCTCGGTGAAAAAATTTAAGTGTGTTAGTGTGCAGATCTTCTACCCGGTTCAATGAATGTTAACGAAGTTTTCGAAAGTTCTTCGATGTTTCTAGAAAAAGTTCCTTGAAATTCTTCAACGTTTCCTTTACTTTTTAGAAATTCTCCAAGCTTCTACGAAATTCCCTGTAGTCTAATGATGTTCTCTTAACTTCTAGAAATTGCCCTTGATTTCTAAAAAGGTCCCTGAGCTTCTAGGAAGACTTAGTTTTTTTTTTCCTTGATTTGTTTTCCGTTGATCTTGTTTTCCGTGCTGAGCACCAATGCTACCGACGTGCCAGGAAGGCAGCTCCCACACCTGGACCGTACCTATCGACCCATCATCTCATGAACCGGCGACCAACGGCTCGTGATCAGAGATATTATGCCTCAGAACATCCCGGCGGCGCCGACTGGGATTGAACCCAGGCCTGCTGGGGTGAGAGGTAATCACTACACCACCGGCGCCGCTACTTAGTTTTAGAAATCTGAAATATTGGACACCTTCCCCCGCTTTTACCATTAAAGGGTAGATCAACTATTATTGAAAATGGGAGAAATTTTACCCATAAATGGGTATTTGATTTTAACCGTGTGAGAGTTATTTATGTTTTGGTTATTAGATGTTTTCGAAACATACACTTCAAAAATCAAATATAACTTTAGTTTTCTTTGGCCACCTTTCCACAGCTTTTATAGGTGACTATTAGTTTTAGTTTAGTTAGTTATTAGATTTCGTACCTTAGGGTTCATGAATATATATGAGGGAGGAGGGGGGTCTAAGATTTTGTGACAAGCAATGCATTAGGTATAGGAAAAACGTCACGATAGGGGAGGGGAGGGGGTAATTTAGCGTGACATAATTAATGCATGCGAAGATAAAAAAGTAATCATGCTGTGTAAAACAAAAAAGTCATCCAAAGACTTAAGCATTTTTGCGGGGTGCCAAAGTCTTATTGAAAAAATCAAAGTTGACAGTTCGCAGGGTTTTGTATCCGCCAGACTACAAATAAAGTGACTATAGTGACAATTTGTTGCGATATCTCTTTCTCGCTACCCTTATCGAATTTGAGGAGAGCATCGTAAAAGTGAACACGGAGAAAAAATACTACCCAAAATTAGAGTTCTTTTTACTTAATATTGAGTTCATCCTCTCACTTGCACTCTTTATTGATGTCAAAAAAGGAACGAGAGATTCGAACTAACGATATAGTTCAGCCCAATAAGTTACTTTTGAGTAAATTGCATCTTCTCAAATCTACGTGAATTAAACTTAATTTTGGGTAGAATATACCTAAAAGTAAGTATTTTTTTAACTGGTGTTAAATAGAAACTACTATAAGCGATTTACTCAAATTTGGGTTATTGGGCTGAACCCCAGAATTGAGGGAAAAGTACTTAATTTTGGGTAGTTTTTCTTCTCCGTGAAAAAGTTACGGAGAGGGGCGCAAAAATGAGAGTCTGTCACCTAAACAAGAATCCTGAGTACGGCTCTGGTCTGAGAACCCTGATGAGGCACACTAGTTACTAGATGTAATTTTGATAACATTGGTAACTTGTGTTAAGTACATAGCCAAATCATAACGAACTTGCTTCAAACAAATGCAAAGACCTCGTCCAATTGGTGGCCCGGCTTTAGCGAGAATGTCTCAACCAGTGCATCAGGCAGCCGATGTAGACAATTCTATCAAACTCAAAGCGTTTCATTATCATTTTCTGTTGTTTAAATCTATATATGTGTGTACTTTCAGCAGGTGCTTAGATTGAGACAAAAGAGCTCAATGAAGAAATGAGGGTTTGATTGATAACGGCAGTACGAAGCCATTGTGCACGGCGGCAGTGATTAGTCCCAGTTGAGGCGTGAGAAGTTTCGGTTCGTTCGGTGGCTGAAAGAAGAGAGACGTTTCCAGAGGATTACAACGTTTCGTAACAAGGAGAAAGAATTACCATGCATCGGATACGGAATCATGTCACCGCAGGGCTGCTGCTCGTAACGTTCCTATTAGGTAAGCATATGATAAGTTTAATAAGTGATGTCCTGAACATAAAGAACCATCGGTGAACAGTGAAAAGAAAGGGATTTACTAGTCTAGTAGGCGAATAACCTTTTAGGTGAGGGCGACAGAACTAAATCGAATGGCATCATAAATCATAATGTTTACTCAATGATTAACGTGCACCGAAAACATCCAAAAGTTCAACCCTTGAATTGCCTAGGGCGTTACTACTGAAAAGACTTCAGCAGCGCAAAGTGCCTACTCTTATCGCGTTCGATGTCGTTGAGTAGATAAGGCTAGGGAAGGAGTAAAGTTCAAAACCGTAGCTACGTCAGAATTTGACGATTCTAATCCATCACCACTATGTTTCTGATTTGCCGGCTGGGAACGATATGCTGTTATCGGATTTTTTGGGAAGGCCATAACACGTATCCGATGAACGCACATAAAGAATTAGTAATGAGTAATGGTAAAGACAATTCATTAGCTCGTGGAATTCTCTTGGTTTAATATCGGGTTTGTTTGGTGCTGATAGCCAAACATCAAGAATGCGCAATTTAGGCATTCATTGTTTGCAGAACAGTGAAGTATTGTCAGGTGAATATGTGACAATATCTAGTGAATCAAGGAAATCTAGCTACACTGGCACTGCCCAAACTGTATACCAACTTCAACTCATCAGATCAGCAAAATAACGAATCGGCAATAATCTGGTTTACAAGTCATACGGCAGAATGACTATCCAAATACCCGATAAGCATTAAAACGTTGCCCTGATTAAATATATGAAAGAGAAGCCAACTAGGAACCTATGCCATTCGAATAGATTCAAGGGCTTGTTCGTGTTGAAAAATTGTTGAACAATAACTGTCTCACTATTGACTACTTTCCCTTAGACAATGCTGCTTGCCATCAGCACCAAGACCAAAAGTAAATGGGAAAAATGATAAGTGAGCAATTCTTTATCACGTGCAAGTGCCTTTTCTATCCAATTTCATACCTTGTTTATGGATTATATTCTGTGATGGGAATTATTCAAATTACCTTTGACCTTTGAGACTCGATCCGAGACATTCAGAAACAACAAAGCCAGTGATTCTCAACCTAAGGTACGCGTACCCCCCCTGAATGAAAAGTACATCAAAAGAAGCGATGTTGAGCGAGCTTGGCCTCACGGTGGGTGAACGTTGAGAATCGATGCCCTAGGCAATAGATGATAGGATAATTGTTTTGAAAATTGGCTATTTAAGCACACGATTGGCGCAAGCAGTGCCGGATTTAGGATCCGGGGGCCGGGGCTACTATCCCATATTATCTGCATTTGAAGTTTGAATTTCAAATGCGCGATAGTATTTTTCTTCCTACCATCTTGATATGAAAACTAGATAAATTTATTTTAAAAATTCAGAAGAAAATCGAATAAAGAAATGGAATCTACATTTCACCAATCTGGCCATCTGGATCACCAGGGTAAACTTGGTTGGTTGGGAATATCAAGAGAAATAATGATAGCATTTCATTATGGGACTCCAAAGATAGCTTTGACGTTTAGATTTTTCAACATAATTTTCAATTTTATTTAATTGACGTTCAACAGCATTCAACATCAGTTTTCAAACTTACGAATCATAGAGTTGGAACAATTGTTGTCCTTTAATAATCAATGATATAAAAAATGCATACATTTACACTCAATATGATAAGTAATCATGTTGAACGATAGCATCATCATAGCCTATTCATTTTAATACCATAAATTTGTCAACTTTATTTAATGTAAGGATTGATTCCCGTAGCTACGATTTATGTGATCAATTTCCCCCTGAATTACGGTATTCAATTTAGAGTTGCGTTTATTTTATTTGTTTCAATGCTACATAAAAACAATACAAATCAGTAAAAATAATTTAAACATCCATGGAGCTGATGATGTCTACATTTAGCTTCAATGTAGACGACAACCTTCTTAAGGTGAAAATGGATCGATTTAGAATGACTCACTTCATCGATTTTTTACAAAATAGCGCAACGCTCAATCGTAAAAACTCTTCCGTGCAAAACTAAAGATCTAAAATTGCTAGCTCTAGCAATTTTATCAAGACTGATTTATAGTTTAAATTTTCAGAAAACCATGTTCTAAGTTCAGCAGCAAAACATATCTGGATATTTTTAAAGATAATTATATGAATTGAAATATTTTAGAAATCACCCACCTTTGCCATTACTAAATGAAATATTTTTTTAATTCAAAGGTTCAACAGTTTTCAAAAGTATTTCAGAATATTCTGTGAATATTTCAGCCTACTTGATGGATGTGCTCTGATATATCTGGATATTTTTAAAGATAATTAGATGAATTGAACTATTTTAGAAATCATCCACCGTTGCCATTGATAAATAAAATATTTTTTTTAAACCAAACTGATCTCCAATTTTCACAAGTTGTTTCACTAGCATTCGAAGGTATTCTGTGAAAGTTTCAGCCTATTTGATGGAGATAATCTGATATATCTGGATCAGGGCGTCACAACATCAGCTTTAATCGACCAAATCGATGCGACGAAGAGACTGCTGACTTTCTTTTAAAGCTTTAAAGTCGAACAGCTTCGCAACATTCTAGAACCTCAGTCGGCGTCCACAAACAAAATGTCCAATCGCTTGTTTCTCTTTCTCCCGTCGCTGCATTGCTCTTTCTTTCAAGCATCGGTGAAACGGACGGGCGAAAGAGCGCTCGACTTCCATAGTTTCGTCTTTCATGAAACACATTAACTGAGGTTTCATGACGTATATAACGGAAAATGAAAATATATATTGAAAGCATTTCTAACGTGAAAACACTTGTGTGTGTGTGTGTGTGTGTGTGTGTGTGTGTGTGTGTGTGTGTGTGTGTGTGTGTGTGTGTGTGTGTGTGTGTGTGTGTGTGTGTGTGTGTGTGTTTTTTTTTTTTTTTTTTTATAGTAAGGTTTAGGAAAGCTTCAAGAAGCCTGGCCTGTAGTGAAGGTGGCACGGTGTGGTATCCACTAGTTGCCTAGTGCAGCTCCACTAAAACCCATTCCTTACTCTCTCCTCTGCCTGGATCCCCCCGGGACCACTGTGAAGCGACTACTTCGGGGGGTGGCTGTGCTCATGCACTTGTCGTACTCTCAGCGCTAGCTGGCGTTGCTAGATCGCTGCTCTTCTCTCCATTTACGCTGCAGCTCTGACATAATCTGTGTGACTGCCCTGCTGACGGCATTCCAAGAGTCCTCCTCTCGACACATTTCATCGACGACATTCTCCACGTTAAGGACGGGCATCTCCGTTCGCACTGCCTCGAACCTTGGACAGTCAAAGACCACATGCTCCGGCGTTTCATCGACGTTGCCACACTCCGGACAGAGGGGTGACGCTGCGTGTCCGAACCGATGCAGGTATTTCCTGAAGCAGCCGTGGCCAGACAGGAACTGCGTTAGGTGGAAATTGACTTCTCCGTGTTTTCTGTTCACCCAGGTCGAAAGAATCGGTATTAGTCTATGTGTCCATCTACCGTTCTCCGTCGTGTTCCACTCCTGTTGCCACTTAGCCAATGACTCCACTCTCACAACTTTCCGTACTCTTCCGGCTTCTCTCTGCCTGTAGCACTCACTGTCCTCCGCCAGGGTGATGCCGATAGGGATCATACCGGCGATAACGCATACTGCTTCCGACGAGATGGTTCTGTACGCACTCACGACTCGCATGGCCATAAGCCGGAACGTACTGCTCAGTTTCCTTTGGTTCTGCTTCGTTTCCAGCGCTGGAACCCAGGCTGGACCTCCATATCTCAGTATCGATGATGACACGCTGGCCAGAAGACGCCTCTTGCTACTGCTGGGACCAGCGTTGTTCGGCATGATTCTAGCTATCGCGTTGATGGCCTTCGAAGCCTTCTCACAGGCATATTCGACGTGGCTGTTGAAGTTTAGCCGGTCATCGATCATCACTCCCAGGTATTTTAACACACGCTTCGAGGCTATGGTGTGCTCCCCGACGGTGATTTCCGCCCGCTGTACCGCTTTACAGTTACTGACCAATAACACTTCCGTTTTGTGGTGGGCTATTTGCAGCTTCGCTCCTTTCATCCAGTTACCAATCATGTCGATTGCCTCGGTTGACAACACTTCCACCTCTTCCAGCGTCTCGCCTGTTACCGTCAAGACGACGTCGTCCGCAAAGCCAACGATCTCAACTCCTTTGGGCAGTTTCAGCGTTAGCACGCCGTTGTACATCCCGTTCCAGAGCGTTGGACCAAGGATGGAGCCTTGTGGAACTCCCGCTGTGATCCTAATCGATCTCTGTCCCATGTCTGTCTCGTAGACCAGAACCCGGTTCTGGAAATAACTCCTCAGGATCCTGCACAGGTAGTCAGGGACCCTCATTCTATGCAGTGCATCGGCGATGGCCTCCCAGCTGGCGCTGTTGAACGCATTCTTGACGTCGATCGTTATGACGGCGCAATATCGATCCCCTCTCCGCTTCTGTTTGGACGCCTTTTCAGCTCTCTCGACCACTGTCCGAATTGCATCCACCGTCGATCTCCCTTTCCGGAATCCGAACTGCCTCTCCGACAATCCGTGCTCACTCTCCGTGTATTTCGTCAGCCTGTTTAGGATGATCCTCTCCAAGAGTTTTCCGAGTGTATCCAGCAGGCATATAGGCCTGTATGATGCTGGATCCCCCGGCGGTTTTCCTGGTTTCGGCAGCAACACTAGCTTCTGTATCTTCCACCTGTCAGGGAAGTGACCCTCGTTCAGGCATTTCTGCAGCACTATCCTGAACATGTCCGGGGATGACTGGATCGCCGCTTTCAACGCTACGTTGGGGATTCCATCCAGACCGGGAGCTTTCTTCACCTTCAATCCTTTCGCCACTACTACGAGCTCCTCGTTGGTGATTTCGACGTTATCTCCCTCTCCTTCTCCGTACGGTGTAGGTGGCCAGGTTGTTGGGTCGTGCTTCGGGAAAAGTCCTTCCACGATGACTTTCAGCTT